CATCTGCTCCCCAAGCCTCCTGCCATCAACAAAACGTCCAGAGCCCAGGAGGCCCTTCCCTCCTACCCCCGGTAACCTATCCTGTGGCCATCCTGTGGCCAGGGAATTTTCCATGCCACCCCCAAGTCAGTCATTAGATTTAATCATTAACAGGGCGGGTGTTAATTAGCAGAGCATGATGATCATCCATGCTGATGAGGACACAGCTGGCCATCAAGAACAGCTGCTCAGACAAGGGCGGGGAAGAGCAAGATCTGGCTGAAAAGGTGCAGGGGTGTCCTACGGTCACCCCCTCCTCCGGTTATGAAAGTTTTGAAATCTCCATTTCTTCGACCCTGGTTTTTCCAGAGTCAAAAGAAACTTTTACTAAGATGAATTCCTCACTATTCATGTCCATTTCTCAATGTTTAACGGGCACTAGGCACTGCGCTAGGTTCTTTGTGGACATTACCTCATCTTACCTCTCACTATAATAATAGAGATAAGTGTTATTTATAGGTGAGGAAACTGAGGCTCAGAGAGGTTAAGCAACTTGCCAAGGTCACAGAGCTACTAAGTAACAGAGCCAGGATTTGAGCCCAAGCAGACCATTCCAGAGGCTGAGAGTTTAACCACCACACCGGAAGGAGCCAGCACAGGTGGGCAGTGCACCTGAGCCGTCAGAGGTCTTGTTGACCTTCTTTGATGCGCCTCATTTTTATACTTACACTTTTGTAATAGTCATCATTTATAATTACTTAATCACCCTACTCCACCACACCGACCCCTGCTAGGCTGTAAGATGCCGGTGGAGAGAGACTGCATCTATGTCATGCTCCATTGTATCCCAGTGCTTAACATAAGGCCTGGAACATAGGAATACCCAATAAAACCCAATACTAGTTAGAAGAATAAATTCAAGGTGTTAGAGAGTTGTGGGGAGAAGGAGCTAGCTGAGAATTGAGCCTTCTGGACTGGTGATGATCATAGAATTAAAAGAGTTAGATCATCTGCTCTGTGCCCTGCTTCAGGTTCAGCCATCACCCTGCCTTAGCCACCAAATCTGGTTTATTGGGGAAAGTGTTGACATAGGTTTTAGTCCTTGGGAGAGCTGCTTCCTCGCTCTTGGCCTCAGTTTCCCCTCTCTAGTTCAAGGGGCTTGGATTGACTGATAGTCTCCTCCACCTCTACCGGTTTGTGGTTCAAGAAGAGGCAGAGCACTTTGGAAATGAGCAGCCCCTCTCTTTGAATCACCAGCTCTGGCCCCATTCCCGAGAGTGCCAGCTGCAGGGAGGTGTGCACCCAAGCCTGGTAAGACTGCCACGATGTGCCACGATGAGCTTTTTCATAGGCAAACCAGGACATACACAGTTGGAGGAGGCTGAGCCTTCCCAGTAAGTCCCTGAGAGGCCCCACCTCTACTTCACTATGCTGCCACAGCTCACAAGAAGCTCTGGCGACTTCTCTTGCTGAGAGGCCTTCTAGATGGGCTTTGGAACCCCAAGAACACAGAGCCTCACTGCGGGGCACCCACTCCTCCATTCCAGATCAAGCTCTGCTCCCCACCTGGCCTCCCTCCTTCACGAGGCCCCAGAAGACTCTCACTCATTTCCCCAAGAGCCAAGTGGCCCCGAAGGACGAAGTTTTACTCTCCGATGAGGATTTTCAGAGCATAAGCCACAAGTTCTGAGATGATGCCAAAAGAGTTTCCAGAAATGCTGGAGCAATTGCAGCAAATTGGTATGAGTGTATGGCTTCCCAAGGGGACCATTTGGATGGGCCACTGCTTCTTTGGTGTGTAAAACCAGTCTCTAGCCTCACCTCCTCAGAGCCATGCACATGGAAGTGTGCATGCATCTCATACTCAACAAGCCTGGCCCACATGGGCCAGGCAGGGAGAAATGCAAAAGTAGAGGTTGGGGCCAGGACTCCTGGGGTTCTCACCCTGTTTCTGAGACTTCCTGCCTATGCGACTGGAGCCCCCCGACTCAGGATGACAAAATATTAGAAGTGGAAGAAACGTGTGCAGTCACAGGATCCCCTTTTTTTACAGATAAGGAAAGATACCAGTGTGTATGTGTTGGCGGGAACGGCAGGGGGCGGGGGGAGGTGATTGCCCAAGAGTGGCCCAGATAGTTGGCAGCAGAAGGAGAAACTGAACTCTGACCTTCCAAATCCCAACCCAGGCGGCCCATTCCAGAATCACCTCCCTACACAACCCTGCCCTTCAAAAGTGAAATAAAGATCATATACTATCTGACTCCTGGTTGGTTATGAGGACTAGTGATAATGCAAAAGAACGTTAGTGGGGGTGGGGAGGGTAGATAAATAAAAGCAGAAAGTGCTGAGAACAACAAAGAGCAGCCCATTAACCCAGAGTCCAGCTCTGAGAATAGGGGCAAGTGGAAGCTGTTAAGTGACTGCATCACTAAGTCACATCCCTATAACCTTAAATATTTCATAGACCCAGAAGTGCACCACGCGGAACAGCTGCTGTTCCTCCGGCAGGGGCTATGACTGCAGTGGGGACATAAATGCTTGCACACATGAGCACACCTTGCACAGACACATACGAGCCAGGGGAAAGGGCTGGGACAGGCAGGCTCCGACTCTTACTCATTCTAAGAAGGGCTCCGAGAGCAGGCATGGGATGCTCTGCAACTCCCCAGCCCTGTGGGTGAGCAACCCACACCTTTTTCCACCCACAAGCCCAGCAGGCACTCAGTCGCTCACCCAGCTCTGGATATAAAAAAGGTCAAAACGATACACTCACACCTTCACAGACAGACCCAAGCCAGCTCACAGTGGAGACTCCAGGACCAAAGGCTGCAGCTAGTCACACTCCACCTCCCCACTACCCGTAAAAGCTTAGCCACGCACCCCAGCCTCCTCCAGAAGCCAGTACCAGGAGCTGTCTCCCTGCTCTCTCCTCCTCTGCCTCAACCCAGCACCAGCTGCTCCTGGAACCCCTCTTCCCACACAGCCCCCCATCAGTCATCTCTCCAAAGCCTGAGCTCTCTAGGCCCCTCTCCTGACCTAGAGCTTTCGGGGTGAAAAGACTGAGACTCTGGAGCTTGAGAAAGCAACACGAAGCATGGTGTGAGACCTTGGGAGAAATTTCCATGACCAGACCGAATTTAAGAGGAAGAAAGAAGAGGCCTAGGCAAACTGGATGACTGGGATAGGGGTGGAGGGTCTTCTTCGGAGAGCCTGGAGAGGTGTCTCTCCTAACTCTGCTGTCCTGCTAAGAGATAAAAAGGCAAGAAAAATTGCAGCTATCAATTCATTGAGGGCTCTATGTGCCAGGTACCTTACCTCATATGATACTAACCCTATCAGGCAGGGACTCTTCTACCCATTGTATAAATGAGGAAATCAAGGCTCAGTGAGGGGAGTCTGAGGCCCCAGAGATAGGAGTGTGAGAATCCTGGCTTCAAGTTCTAGGGTCCCGATGGAAGGGGATAGGGGATAGACAAGCCACCTCTTTAAAGGATACTTTGGACCCTGCTTTGTATATGTGTAGTTAGGAGGTGGGTGAGTGGAGAGAAAGTCAGAGCAAGCACCTGGGCCCTATTGGACCCCTGTGTCCCCCACTCCCACCCTGGCCTTATCCTCCTGGCTCCAGTGCCCTTACACCCCCTCCCTCCACTGTCATTTCTCAGGGGTGGGGAACAAAGGATGTGGGGCAGGGCTCAGGAGTCCAACTAGCTGTTTCCCAGGCTGACCCCGCTACATCGAAAAGAGAACAAAGGGTTTTGCAAGTGCAAGCTGGGGGTAGGGGGTCCTGGAGTCCAAGTGACAGCAAAACAGGGACCAGTTAATAGAAAACAGAGGTCTGTGTGGCCCACTGGGTCCCAGGTTTGCCCTGAGAAAACTGAGCTGGGCCTGGCATGTGTAAAGGGATATGGCAGGGGGGAGGGCAGGGGAGGTTATTTTGGGAGGTAAGAGGGTAAGGGACCATGTGAAGGGCTTCCTGGGAGAAGAGGCAACTTAGGGTTGAGGCCGACCCCTTAGAGGAGAGGATGACCATAGGATCCCCAGAGAAGCAGGCACTGATCTGTATGGAACTTGCCAGTTGCTCGGTTTAAGGGGCTTAAGGCGAAGGAAACAGATATCTGGCCCTGGCCACTGCTAGGCCCCTCCCTCCCCTTCTCCTCCCCACCCCCAGTCCTTCTCCTCCCCCCGGAATGCATCCAGCCCTGCCCCTGCCCAGTGCCCAGCACCTCTCCTCCCTCTATCCAGCGGTGTCCAGCCCCTGGCATAATGCTCACAGCTCCTATGAATATCTTATCTCCCTCACTCTCTGGTACTGATTGGCATCTTGGTCCTATACCAAACTAGTAAGTTCCTCACATAGCCTAACCTCCAACCCTTCAGACACAGCAGATCATTTCATTATTCCACCAGTAGTGAAACTGGAAACCAACACCATCTATAAACAAGCCACCCACCGCACCAGAGGAGTTTCCCTCTCCATCCCTCAGCATCCTCCCCTTGAAGGCCTTTCACCTGCTTTCCCATCCCCACAATTTAGCAAGCGGAAAGAGAAATCTATTTCACGAGCATTATTGGCTCACCACCCCCATTACTCCTTCTGCTGAGTCCCAGATGGTCCTTTCTCCCTGAACCCTGCACCCACTGCTATCAGCACTTCAAGAAGAGGCTCTGGCCTCTGGAGACCCTCTAAGGTCTTCAGTTCTCCTCCCTGCCCCCAGTGAATACAAACCGCACCTCCCCTCCAAGTTTCCACCTCCGCTCTGGTGTCTTTGCATGGGAAAGTCCCTCTCCATGCCTAGCATTAATGTCTCCTGCTGCATGCCTAAATCCCCTTTCTTTCTTCTCTCTCTGAGACAACCCCCTTTAAGATCATAAATGAAATCTTCCTCCGGCGTTTCCTGCCTCCCGTCTCGCAGCGCCCCTCCACCTTCCCAGCCCCTAAAGCCTGCCTGGGCGTGGAGAAGTTCTTGGGAACCGCTCCCCATCCCCCTCTCTCCCCAGAACTCTGAGGACAACCTTCATACCTGCCTGGGCTGTCAACCACGACTGGGACGCGGCCACACCCCGCTCGCCCGCCTACGGGGCGGGGAGCCCCGCAGCTGGCGGCGCAGCCACGACGGGGTTAAGACTCCGGGCTGGGGGAGAGAGGGGGGCCGTGAGGGATGCGTGCGGAGCCAATCGGCGGCCGCAGAATCCCCAGGGCTGAGAGCTGGGAGGGCAGAGCCGGGAGCCGGGAGCTGAGCGCGCCGGGCTGGGGCCGGGGCCGGAGCTGAGCGGAGCGGAGAGGGAGCGCGCCCGCCCCAGCCCCGAGTCCCACCGCCTTCCCGCCCGCCGCAGCGCGGGGCCAGCGGCCGCCGCCCAGCCATGGAGCCAGACAACAGTCCCCGGAAGATCCAGTTCACGGTCCCGCTGCTGGAGCCGCACCTTGACCCGGAGGCAGCGGAGCAGGTGCGGAGCAGGGCGGGGCAGCAGGGCACTCGACGGGCAAAGGACTGGGTGGGGGGGTCCCCTAGACTGTGGAATCCGAGATCCCTGGTTGTCCTCCCCTAGCAGTGTGCTTCTGAGGGCGGGCACGCTCAGTTTGGGGGTCTTCTATCCCCTCCCCCATCGTCGGAGCCACACGTCCCTATCTGTGCTTCTTGGAGACGGACAGAAGGACCAGGGCCTCCACTCGAAGCTGGTCCCCGCGAGAGTCGCTCTCTGCTTCCCTAGCCCTGGGGGAGGGGGCTGCCTGAGGACACGACCCCTCCCGCCTTCGCCAGTCTTAAGCCCCCACCCAGTCAACCCCCGCCAGAGTTGCAGAGTTCTGTGCGGGCGCTGAAGGGTACCCGCAGCAGCGCAGGAGGGGTTAGGGGAGACGGTAAGTAATGGAGGGAGCACTGTGCTTTAGGAGTGAAAAGAAGAAAAATAGCCCTTCCAGTCCTCTCCCAAATGCGGGCGACCCTGCTGGACTGCAGAGAGTGAGAACGAGAAGGGGCTGAGGAACACTGGGAGGGCTGGGGCTTCTGGGAAGAGGGGTGGTGGAGTCAGCAAGCCGAGGCTCCCCTCTTCTGCAAGTCTGGACACGTGGGTCCTTTTTCCCAACTACTGCCCTTTGGAGCCGGAGTGGGGGTGGCATGAGGAGAATGGCACTGGGAAGCCGCAATCTGAGGCTTTCTAGGGCCGGGGCGGGGGGTCCAAGCTGAGCCATAGATAGGGGAGAAGCTCTGTGCCGGCCTTGGCTCAAGGAAGGGGTGGGAGTCCAGGGCCCGGCCCAGCCTCCTGGCCTGGCCTATTTTTAGCTCAGAACAGCCTGGCAGAGGCGGCGGCATATGAGAGTGTGTGAGCAAGTGTGTGTCTCAGGGAGAGTGAACGTGTGTGGATAGGGTGATCACCCGTGGTCACTACTACCGCCCATTTGCCAAATATTTGCTCATTGCTCCATCTCCTTTGTGTTCTCTGTCCATTTGCCTGGACATCCCGCTTCCTAAAGCGTATCCATTCCCACAAGGTCAGTTCTCTACTTCCCCCAACTGGCTGCCAGGGCTCTGCTGGGCCTTCCCACCTGAAAAAACACTGTGACCTCTCAGGATGGGCTGTGTTCTTTCTGTTGTTCCAGCTGTTTGGTAGAATAAGGTGTATGTGGGAAGGGAAAGGGAGGGTACACACTCTCTCCCTATAACTTCAGCTCCCCAAGTGTTGAGTAGGGGTTAGGTACCTGTGTCTCCATCCTCTTCCTGGCCTGGGGAGCCACATCTCCAGGCCTCTAAAGTGGGATAGTAGAAGGATTGTGGTGAATCTCAAATCTCCTGAGGATGAGTAGGGCAGACAGCCATGAGCATAGAGAGTGTTCTGTGGGGTCAGGGGACTAACCTCAGACCCAGGGAAAAGGGCCCAAGAGTGTGGGCTGTGGGGGTTAGGGGTGAAGTTTCAAACAGAACTGCCTTCCACTGGCACAGAAAGGTGTCACTCCCTGACACCTGCATTTGTTTCGTGTTAGAAGAGGCAAGTGTAGGTGTGTGTTGGGGGAAGTGGCTGTAGGCCAGCTGGTTCAGGGGCCTGGGAGGTGGCGGGGAGGCTGAAGCAGTGCTAAGGAGCCAGAAGGAAAAAGAGGGCTGGGACTTGAACCTGCTTTTCTCGAACCCTTAGAAATCTGTCCGGTAGGCCTGAAATTCTACCTGCAGTCTAACCTCAGCCCCTCCTGCTGTGTTACCCAAGGGTGTGGGCTAAAAATTCTAGGCTTGGCAGGAGTTCCTAAGCTGACGTACATGGGAGAGCCAAAAGGGTTGGAAGCTCTGAGTTACAGAGCACGGAGTGGCCGGAGATGGGGGTGCCCACAACTACCAGGTCCCTAGCATGACCGGTTTGGAAATAAATCAGAGGTGAAGGCACCAGGTGTCCTTGAGAGCTAGGATTTGGGATAAGTGCAAGAAAAAGAAAAGCGAGCATCTACTCATTTCCTAGTATTTCAGGTGTCTGCGAGGTACTTCGGGACGTCTGACTTTGCTCCCTCACAATTCTCAAGGATGCTGAGTGTTTGGAAATCTTGTCCAAGGCAAGGAGATTGGCCAACAAAGGGACCTGAGCAAGATCACAGAGCCCTGCTGCCCTTTCAAAGGCCCTTCCTGTCATACTCTCAGTCTCCTTCTCAGGCTCCCAACTCCCACTAATCCCTACACCACCCTCTCCCTGTCTCTTCCACAGCCAGCCCCTCCCCCAGGGCAGGAAAGAAATAGAGAGGAAAAGTCTGCTCCTGGGAGAAGGATGGCCCCCACCCACATACATGAAGCACACATGCCTGCCTGCTGGCACCCAGCACATTGCACCAGGAATAGTCAGAGATAAACTCATAGCTAATTTTTGTGCAGTGCATGTGTATATGTGTGTACACACAGGACTGGTACTGCCAGGGACCTTGAAATGTCACCAAAAAGAAATGCCGCTAGATTCTCCTGAGAAAATAGTGCCCTACCTCAACATACCCCCATTCTATGCATCCCATTTCTTCGGGAAGAGTTTCCTCTCAGACTAACGCTGCCCCTCTTGCTATGACTGGTACTCACTTTCTGGGCATAGAGAAGGGCAGACGTCTTACCACCCTCACCCCCAATGGTAATGATACTAAATAATGGACAAAGACAAGAATTTGATCACTCAATGTCCTTATCCTACTCCTCTCAGCCCCGGATAATTTTAGCCCCTTTCCCAATCCCTCCCCTCTGCTGCCCTGCAGGAAGCTGCAGAGACTCCGACCTCACCTTTCCCCTCACTTCCAAGCCTCTAAACCCTTCAGAGAAAGGGAAAAAACTACTTGTCCCATCTGTCCTTGGACCACCTTCAACAACAATCAACTTTATTGGCAGCATGATAAAAGAACAGCAAAGGGGAAAGGGGGCTCAGAAGCCCAGCAATCAGCTCTTATATGTTAATTTCTTAGAAAGGAACCAGGAGCCCAAAATAAAATTTTTTTAGCTAAGCTTTAGGCCCTGACCAGGGTCCTGCCTAGGGATTCTTCTCATTTATGTGTACCATGACAAGGGTTTCCCCAGACCATATTTCCTAACGAATCAGAAAGGCGGTGTGTCCAAAGATATGGAGGATGTTAGGAGTGAGGAGCACGGGCGAGGGGACTGCCCATCAGACCTGCCTTCTCTGTACTGTCCTCCCAGGCTGGGCAGGGATGGAGGGGTGCTCTCTCCAGGTGATGGCCCACAAATGGTTAATGTCTGTCTGGGGAGTGGGCTGGGAGACTGAGGGAAAAGCCTGTGCCCTCTCAGGTTATTTCTGACCATTGATCTAGGATGGACGGAAGGACATTGGGCCAGAGATCGATGCGTTAGAGTAGATATAGCTGCTGAGATGGAGAGCTGGGGTCAGGACTGGGAAGATGCAGAGACGGAAAGCGGGTAGGAGATGCAGAAAGTGGGATGGTCTTTTAGGTCTCCAGGGAAGAGGGATGGGCCCGAGAAAGTCCACTCTTGGATAGTGGATTCAGTGTAACATGACATTTTTTGAAGCGTATTGATTGGCCGTCCTGGATTATATTGCTGAGTGATGTCGGGTGGGGCTTTGATGCTCCCGCGAGTACTTGACCTCTTCCCTCAGATTCGGAGGCGCCGCCCTACCCCTGCCACTCTCGTGCTGACCAGTGACCAGTCATCCCCAGGTAACCCCAGGGATGGGTTGCTGAAGGGAGTGGGGGCTGCTGAAGACAGCTGGGTCCAGTGAGAGAAGGTGGGTGCTAGATAGAAGGGCAGCTCTGAGAAGTTAGAGATCTCCACAATCCCAAAGGCAGGAAAGTGGTGGCTGGATTACCAAGAGGATTTCCTTTCCTTTGGGAAGACGGGGCTATGCTAGGAAGGGGAGGGGGACCCCCTTCCTAAGTTCCTAAGATCCCCAAGAGTTAGGGTGGTCAACTGAGTGCTGGTTGCTGCACAACAGTCTTCCAGGTTTCTCCAGCAACTGAAACGCTGCTACCCCCACCCCCAGAGGCAGTGACAGCTGTGAGGGGGAGGGACCGCCTATCAGCTCTCTTCACAGCCCCCGGAGGGGAAGGAGAAGGTTAGAAACAGCTCAGGGAGCAGCTGGCAGACAGGTCACCAGTGTCCCCATCCAGGTCTGGGGAGAACAAGGTCTCAGAGAATGGCAGGGGAGCTTGACAGGGCAGCAGAAGAGAGGTGGTCATGCTAATAAGCTGGAGGGGAATTCAGGATGCCCAAGTCTCCAGATTTCCCCTAACTACCGAAAACTGTATCTTCCCGGCCCCTGCACAGGATAACTTTGCTATGCTTTTTCCAATGTTCCCTCCTATGCAAGGTTCCGTTCTGGACCCGGGGCGGGGAGAATGGATAGAAGGAGAAAGAGATATGGATACTTTAGAGGGAGTAAAAGAGTAAAGGGACCATAAATCCTGCCTTCAGGCACCTGCACGTCTGAGGCAAGGATGTAGACACAGATGGACCTGTACAGAATCAAGGACAGGCCTTACAGGGGTAAAGCCAGCCAGCAGAGCGGGAGGGAATTGGAGGGAGTAGGCCTGGGGCAGCTAGCAGGGCCAGCTTCCTAGGGGTAGATGCGAAGGACAGATCAGAAAGGAGGTGATTGCAGAGGCACCTCCCCTTGGGAAGTCAGCTCTGTGGGGACCCCCTGGATTTCCCATCCTCATCATTTTCTCCTTTCCTTATTCCCCTCAGAGGTAGATGAAGACCGGATCCCCAACCCACTTCTCAAGGTGAGCTGGCCCCTTCCTCAGCCCAGCCCAGGGAATCCACAGACTCATCAGGGGATTATTCCTCAGAATCCTCCATCTGTAGCACCTTTGACTCCCTCCACACACCCCGAAAATGTATATTAGTGGAAATACATCCCCCCACATTCCCCGCACACGGTCTCCTTGCTCACCATTGCGGGGAGGGGGAGGGAGGTACTGAAGAAGCAGGAATTTTCTTCCCCCACTTTCTGCAGTCCACACCTACCCCCATTCTGCAATCCAAAAGCATGGCAAGGCAGAGGAGGCAGGAGAGAGGGCTGGCACCCACATGTGCTCTGTGTCCCTTGCAGTCTACTTTGTCCATGTCTCCACGGCAACGGAAGAAGGTGACGAGGACCACACCCACAATGAAAGGTTGAAGATCCTTCTCCTCCCTTTTTTCCCCCTCTGTGCCTGAGGCTGTGCAGTAGACCTACTGACCCTGTTGGGAGGAATCCTTGGGAGTCATTAAGGCAGACCTTATTAAAATGTTGGCCTCTGACTGACTAACTGGGTGGCCTTGGAGAACCTGCTTAACCTACTGAGCCCCGACTACTATCTCACTATGACAGTCAAGTTAAAGAAAATATATGAACTCACCCAACGCAGTGCATAGCACATAGAAGGAGCTCAAATATTTCTTGACTCTAATTTGAGTCTTTTCTCCTTTTTCCCAAGGAAGACCAAGTGTCTCAGCAAGTTAGAAGGATCTTTTGTTCTTAAAGGCTCTTCCGTACACTTTTCTTATCTTTGAAGGAAGTACATTTTATTGTCTAGCTTAGTCTCTCCTTATTTATTGCCTAGCGAATGTCCCTCCTGGTTCAGATCTCAGGGGATGGGAAAGTTGAACCTCCCAGCAGTGTGTGATTGGCCCTTGAGTGGGGCTGTTGAAGCTGAGGGTCCACAGAGGAGGCTCTGGGCAGTCAGTCATGTCCAGTGTTCCCTCCTTTCTCTGTGCCCCTAGAGCTCCAGATGATGGTTGAACATCACCTGGGGCAACAGCAGCAGGGAGAGGAGCCTGAGGGAGCCGCTGAGAGCACAGGGACCCAGGAGACCTACACACCGGGGATCACAGACACAGAAGCGGAGTCAAGGCTGGACACCTCTGGGAAAGCACCAAGTACGTTCAGGCTGGGAGGGGTCGGGGGATGGCCAGCCCAGGAGGAGGCACGCCATACCCATTGTGGGGAAGCCTCTAGTGTAGCCAGGAACTATCTTCAGAATATGGATATATATGCATGTATTACATGTATTTGCATTCTTCACTTTTTTTACTGATACCAACCCCTCCTAAATGGACTTCAGAGCTCCCCGTTGTGGCTGTATGGGGGAGCCCTCATCATGGGAAAAGCGCTCACAGAGTAGAATCCCAGTTCTGTCCCTTTATTGGCCCAGAGAGAGGCCTTGAACAACTTTCTTAACCTCAGTCTACAAAGTAACAATGATGGTGCCTGTTTCACTGGGTTGTTTGTGAAAATTAAATGAGTCTGCTTCTTAGTCCAATAGCTGACAGATACAAAGCACGCAATAAATGGAACCTGCTGGGGTGCTGTTAATACACGTCTTAATCCCTTATCTTAATATATTCCAGAAGTCAGAATTTCTCCCCTTTCATGAAGGTGATATAGTACGTATACGCTATATTACATAACAGTCCCAACAGAGCACCCTGTAATCAAACACATTAATATTTTTACAGTGAAATGAATGGCCCCACTAAGTACAATAAATAGACTATAAATAGCTTCACATCAGTTCAGGTCAGATTTAGCCAAGATTGTACCCAAATTTTTAAACTTTTTTTAGAGGGTTTTTTTCCCTTCAATTTGATTGCAGATAAAAACAAAATGTTTTTAAGCATAGTGAACCTATAGTAGGAATTGCGATCAGGGGAAACCCTGTTGGTCTTGCCCAATTGTCCCAGCTTGGTCTTGACACCTCTCAGGAGTCTTGGAATATGAGATGGGGTGAGCAGAAGCACTGCCCTCTACAAGACCTCACAAATACCACCTCTCCCTCCTGCCCCCATTACCTCTCCTTAGAGCCTGCAGAATCCACCCCAAAAACTCAGGAGAGAGGCACTGAGAAACCAAGCACAGAAGAACCCTCAACCCGTATACCACCACTGGATTCCCAGGGAGCCAACTTGGTAAGCCACCAGGACTGGGCTGCTAGCCTACAGGAGAGCAGGCTGTACGGATAAGGGTGAGGCCTATGATTTGATGTCAGGGAAAAGAGAGCAAAGCACCAGCTTCAGTCACTGAGGAGCTATTGTCTACGGCAAGAGGACATGCTTGTCCTCTGATGGAAAAATGAGAAGTTGCAGCAGGAGAGATTGAGGTTAGACTCTGTTAGGTCTTTTGGCTCCTGGAATAGGTAATGAGAGTAAACCATAGGTTTTCTAATAAAGGGAGGTCTTCATCTGTCCAGGCTAGGTGAGCAGTGGTCCTGCCTGGAGCAGAGGCATTGATGAAATAACCTGGTAAGCTTTGATTTTACAGTCTTTCCTCCCTTGCATAGACTGGGCAAGGGGCGGGGACTTGTGTCAGACATCAGAAATTAGATGCTTGACTAACAGGATGGTTGGGAAGACCAGCAGGGGAGGGGACAACAGGCCCTCTGGCCTCTCACTCACCCTCTCTATCTGCCCCCTCCCTCACAACAGGTCTGAGAGTGAAGGAGGTATCCGAGAGTCAAGACTGCGGTTGGGGTGTGTGTGGACACTGGATTTGTTTTATTTCCTTTTGGGGAAAATATCGTTTTTAAAAAGTGATAAATTTGGTTTTAGGCCCTTGGCATTTTCCTTCTTTCCTGACTTGGAGAACATTTTCCCCCTCCTTTCTTGTTTTGCCCTCTCTACAGCCCCCTACCCTTCTGCCCAACTGCCACTGGAAGGGAGGAAATAGGGTTTCTTCAGAAGGGGGTTCTTCCCCAACCCTGCTCTTACATGTTGCGGGAAGAGAGATAGAAGTCAGATAGGTGGGAAGACTAACTTCCAATAGACCAAGAAAGAAGGATGGCCCCAGGTTCTGTTTTCTTGTTGAAGAAGATACCACCACCTGTCAGGGCTGCCCTGCAGCTGAGAAACTTGAAGCTCTAAGGTATGTCCAGCTGTAACTGCTATGGGCGCCGTCTGCTGGGCAAAACGTGGAACTGCACCCTGGCACGGGGTGTGGCGTGGATGCCTCCTTGCCTGCCCTCCAAGGCTCAGTGATTCCCAAGCTCCAGGATGTGTTCCCTCCTACAGCTGTGAGACCACCACCCCTATTCCAACCCATTAGCAAAGATGGATTGACAGCGCCATGGCCATTAACAAAGAGGACCTTGCTGGGAACTGGAAAGGTTACCTCTCCCCTTTGTCCTAGATGCGGAGGGACCAGGGTAAGAGACAAAAGCTGAGCGTAGGTACAGAAACTTCCTCAGACTCCATAACCAGGCCTCTCCTGCCCACTGCTTTTGATTTTTCCAGGTGGTGGAGGGGAGAAGGGTAGAGGGAAGGCAAGATTCACCCCTCCTTTCTTAAAAAGCTGTGATGGAGAGAAAGCAAAAACTCAGAAATGTAAGGTCCCATTTCTACTTTCCCTTCTTGCCCTCGGGCAAGACCTCACCTCTCTGGGCCTCAGCTTGCCCACCGTATATATAACAGAGAGAACACCAACTGCACCAGGATTTTTATCAAGCTTAAAAGAGACAGCGTTCATGAAGAAGCATGGTGGACTTCCACCCAGTGAACACCAAACACAGCCAGGCCTGGTCTCCCTTCTTTATTGATCTCTGACTATAGCAGGGTTCTGGGAGGCCAAGGGAATGGGTGAGTCACATGCGTCTCTGACCCACTCGGGGTGGGGTAGGAGGGACAGGTGGCAGGGTAGCAGGTCTAAGAGACCATGAATATGGACTTCACATGAACAAAGCCCACTGTACAAATGCATGGTTGGTATTTACAAGAAAGGAGGGAAGTCACCTGGACTTAGGCCTTTCCTGGGACAAGGCAGGGTGAGAGGAGCCTGAGGAGAGGAAGGGGCAGGGGACCTAGCTGGGCTCTCTTCAGAGGACATGACAGCAGCAGCCCAGAACCCCTCCCCATCTGCCTTCCACTCGCCACGCCCACTTGTCCCAGGGGAGGGGCCTCTTGGTGCCTGCAGCTGGGCCAGTGCTGGGAGGGGGAGACATGGGAGGGGCCCACTGTGAGCAACACAGTATTACTGGATAACACCTCTCCCCTCACCATGCACCTTTGACCCCAAGACAGCTGATCTCTCCTGCCTGTGTTCATAAGATGCATCCTGAAGGTGCTTTGCTGGGGAGACCTCAAAGCACTTTACAGACATTGGTCGGATGGAAGCCTCCCAGACCCAGGGAGTGGAAGGAGGCAAAGGGCTCAGGCCTCAGCCAGGACAGGTGACAAGCCCCGGGGGTCTAGACAAGTCCCAAGCTCTTGGGGACCCCAGGAAGGCTTCGTCTCTGTCCCTGCCAATGACCTCTCTCTTCCCCCAGTCACTATTTCAGAATGGGAGAGAGGAAGACTGAGGGAGGGGAGGCGGTGGGGGGGGAGGGGGCGCGGTCAGGCTGGGGATGGGGCTGGAGCAGTGTGGGTCTGGGGTAAAGAGGCTGCCCCTCCACATTCCCAGGCCCTAGAAAGATACCATGCCCTGAAGGAGCCCACTCCCTTTCCCACACCTAGGGCTCTGAAACCCCCCAGCTTTCTATCCTATTCCAGCCCCTCCCAGGGGAGGAAAAGGGGGACCCAGACCTTCCAGCTAAGATCTGGGGTAGGGGGCTGAGGGAACCCCCAAAATGTATTGCTTAGAAACTTGGAGGCAAAAAGGATGGGGGAGAGCCCAGGGGGCTGGCATCTCTGGCCCTCCCCCCAGGCCCTGGAAAGCCTCCAGGAAGCCCCCCTTCCCAGCCAGCCATCTGGCCATGGGGGGAGTCCAGAGGCAGGGGGATGGGCACAGTGACTATTGTGAGCCTGAAGTTCCCCAGTCTTGCTGCCGGGAGATTAAAGTGCGCCCCAATGGGTGACGGGTGGGGAGGGGCCCTTCCCCCAACCCCACGAACTCTGGCATTTGGCCTTCGGGTGGGTTGTCTGTTCCTCAACCTCCATGCTCCCTTGGAGCAGATGGGGGAGCCAGTCCCGATGGATGGTGCTGATGACATCGAACACTTTGGACTCAGGAGGGTCCTGGGAAAAGAGGGAGAAGCCTCAGTGCATTGATCTTTGCCTTTATCTCCAGCCTGACTTATGTTCTCCAAGTCCCACCTGGATCCCCACTCAGTCCCACATACAGATGTGCAGAGGGGTACCCAGCCAAGGTGTGAGCAAGAGCTGCAAAGTCATGCCAACTCACTTCACAGAGCCTTGTGCCTTGGCTGGGTATTTATTCCAAACCCTCACAAAAGTGCTAACAGGCTGGCTGTAGCCTTGGTCAGGCCCCACCCTGCTCTGAGGAGCTACCTGCTTTCTTCCTGCAGGGACTGGGACAGAAGAGCTAGAAGGATTTCCCTGCTTCCCACTCGTGCCCTGGCTCAGTTCTATATATTCACTTCCTCCACTTTCCTGCCTTGAAGGAGGGAGGGAGAACCTCACATCCAGTGAACCACAAAGATGACTCTTCGAAGATGCCATGTTGGACACCCAGCTCTCCCTACTCTTTGCACATCCTCAAGACCCTCCATGCGCCAGCACGACAGGCTCACCTGGGCCAGCCCCAGGCTAGTCCAGATTCCCATTCTGGTTGTGTTCATCTTCGGCGGGGGAGGGTGGGGCTTCCTCCTCACAGGGGGACAGCTCGTCAATGGACATCTGGTTGGTGATGCCTGCAGAGGGGCATGAAAGAAGTTGGGACCAGACCAATTCCCCCAGAACCCAAGGAGTATGTGGAGAAAAGTAAGGGATTCTCATGCATCCTCTTGCCTTCAAGCTGAGCTACATTCAACCCCTGCCCACTTGGGGAGAGCCTCTCCAGCCTTGTTAAAATTCACAACCCTTGACCCCCACATAAAGGAAGAGATTTCTCAACCAGGGCCACCAAGCTACCCAAATCTGCAGGACCACCATTCACAGACCACAATGTGCATAGGACCCTTTGGGTCGTGGAATATAGCTGTCCCTATCCTCTCTCCAGTCCTTATTCTAGAACAGTCCAGGCCAACCAGCTAGTTGGTCTTCCCTGTGATCTAACTTTAGTCTCATCAGCTCCATTCCCAACTCTAGGAATCAAACAAAGGGTTGCTCCAGAGTCTTAAGGAAAATGGACCTGCTACTGCTTATTAGCTACCCTCCCCCTAAGGCCTCATCCCCCTAAATGGTACCCACCACTTGCTGCCCGTTCTTTCCATTTCTGCTTGTTCTCCTGAATGTATTTGATCCAGGTGGAGCGGAAGCTGACCACATCAGGGTTGGGGTCTCCCACTTCTACGTCCAGAGAAGGCTGGCGCCACTGGAAGCTAGAAAAAGCCCCCCCTTGCACACAAATGCAACTCCAGAGGTGAGACCCAGCCCACCCCAGAACGGCCTTCACAGCCCTCAGAGGGGAAAGGATAGAACACCAGGAGGAGACTTAGGGAGCCTCATCTTTCTCCTCTTTTCCCTCTGCTAGGTACCCTCCAAGTCCCTGCCCCGCTTCCCCCAATTTCACCCCTCTTTCTCTACACCTTCCCACTTACTAGAAGAAAACTAAAAACAAGATTAGCAGAAAAGCAATAAAGACAGAGCGAATGGAAGAGACAAAATTATGGTAGAGGGGAACAGAGGTACGGGTCACACACTTCTGGTCCCATCCTTCCACCTGTGTGTGTGACACACAGCAGAGGGGCTCCCACTTTTGAAGTAGCCTGCTTCTCCACCACCCCTGTCATGGCTGTACCTCCTCCCTGCAAGTGGGCCCTCTCTGTGAGTCCAACTTCCCTCCCACAGAACAGGGCGACCTGGCTACCCCAGCATCCTCACCTGGGCTGGTTTTTAGACTTGGAGTCCTCATCCGCCAGAGGCTGGACACTCTTCTCAGCCACATCAGTCAGCACAGAGAATGTGGGCTCCACAATGAAGTCAATGAAACCTGTAGTGAAGAGGATAACGCCGTGGAGATGTCTTACCAGAAGGTGGGGTAGTGGATATGGCTGGCATGGCTGTGACCCTTGGCTGCATGTAAAACAGTAACCTGGGGCTGAAAAGTTCCCAATGGGGAAAGCCTTTGGGATGATGTCTTTGTGACTGCAGAGAACTCCTCCCCGCTATCGCCACCCCCTGGCCTTCCACCCCAGGACTCCACGCTCTAGCACAGCACGCTTGCCTCGACAGGAAGAATGGTTTTGAAAAATGGGGACTTGGGGCAATCCTGGCCCAGGCCCGGACAGCATCTTTCCCTCTTCCCAGTCCTCTCCTCCCTGCGGGAAAGGTCACTCACCAATCTGGGACTGTGCCACGAGAGTGGAAGTGCGATCACACAGCGGAGAAAAGGGCAGGCCCAGTTCTGCCTCCTTGTCACCCTGTGGGAGAAGACAGGGTAGGAAACCTGGAGAGGATACCTCAGTCTACCTACCAGGTCCAAGGTGCAGCTGGAGGTGGTAGGAGGTTGTGGGAGAAGAGGAATCTCTGTGCCTGTGACCTGGAAATGAGTGATAATGCAAATGGGATGCACCTGTCGTCAGCTACTGTTCAGCTTTTAGGATGATCACATTTTATCTCATGGGTTTGGGGTCAGGTTAGAAGCTACAGGTAGCTGAATGAAGATCGGAAGGAGTAGGGAACTTGAAGAACAAAGGGGAGAGAAGGTCCCATGGGCAGGAGGCGGGCAAAGATGCCATGCTACCTGGCGGAAGAATTCCTCCATGAGAGCCTTGGTCCAGCGGCTGTGAACCGACCACTGCTTGGTTGGGTGGCTGATGTCAGCAGCATGGAGCAGTAGAGACAGGGCCTTGGACTTGTCAATCCTGGTGGAGGCAGATGGCAAGAGAAAAGAGAGTGATCTTTTAGGAAAAGGAAACCTGAACTATCCTAATTTCCCATCTCATGCCCTCGCTCAGATCTTCTCAGGTAACTTCAAACACTCTGAGCACCCCCAATACACGCACACATACGTGCACTTATATATATAGGAAGCAGCCCAAACTCTTAGAATCAGAGATCTTGGTTCGAATCCCCACTATATCTATTACACACTAGCTGTGTGACACAGAGCAAGTTACTTAAAATTTCCATATTTAGTTTTCCTCAGTCTTAAGTGGCAATAATAACAGAATCTGCCACATAGAACTGTTCTGAGAATTAAATGACATACAACATTTAAGTATTTAGAAGAATGGCACATAAGTGTTCAGTAGATATTAACTATGATTATTATTGTTATTATTTTCCAACAGTGATATGCTCTGACACTGCACACTCTCCCACACATAGACACCATACATTAACATACACCTTCAGGACACGCACATAGTCTGTTCTCTCTTACACACTTCTAAACATTAGATGTAATTATGGCATTTGTTCTGTGCTTGCTTTCTTTAACCTCACATGACTCTATTAGGAACTGGTGGCAAGCTGTTGAGATGGGCGATGTTTCATTTTCACATTTCACAGATAAGGATCGACTGTCCAGAAGAGTTGAATGATTTTCCCAAAATTCCAGAGTAAGCCTGTCCTGAAGCTGAGATGAGAACGCCCATCTCAGACTCACAGCCCAAAGTACTCTCCAGAAGACCAGCTGCCTAGGTTGTACATACACCTGGGGCCATGTGCACACACACATCTCACACACACACATACACACAGATACGCTCAGCTAGCTGGAGCAGGAGAGCTTCTACATCTGAATAAAGACTTGGCACACCAACTACCCATATGTATGCCCCCCAATTTACACACCCCTCACTCTGGCCTAGCCCCGGCCACACCCCACCAGATGCCACCTCTCCAGCTGCTGCAAGGCTGTCTTCATGGACTTCACTTGCTGGAAATGGCAAGACATGTCTGTGGCCAACACCATCTCGATGACCAGGGCCCGCAGCTCTCTGAATAGACAGAACCAGAAAAGAGATCAGCCCCACAACACGGCTAGGCAGGAGGTCCAGGAAGTGGGATGAGAAGGTTGGTGTGAGGGGCCTTTTATGAACACCCACTCCTGGTTTCTGCTCACACAAACTCATCCTTGGTTAAGTTGATGAAAATGTTCATCTCGTCGTCCTGCATCATTCGGAAAACGGAACTAATGTGGTGATTCTCCAGCACTGAGCGATCGTTGTATAGGATGGCACATTCTGACCTGCAAAGTCAAAGGTCATCGTGTCTGGCCACCTGTAAGTGGGGACTCTGGCAACCTTCCCACCTCCACTTGGCCCCTCTTGCCCTGCCATGTCCCATCCCTCACTTGGTCTGGATGTGGAAGCTGTTGGTCGTGCCTGTGTGCTCATAGTCATGAATGGCTGCTGCAAAGATGATGGCCAAGACCTCAATCTCGGACAGGCAGTGCTGGGGAAAAAAGGCAGAAAATGAGAGGAAGCCAACCTCCTGTCTGTCACTGCCCAAAGACCTCTAGATACGGGCTAGACTACTCAGGCCATCCCTTCTATTCTTAAACATTCCCACTGTATCCCAGCACACATTCATGAAGTTATGGTCCACCCAGGAATTCTCTAGAGTAAGTCAAATTTGACTCTGAAAACTGTGGGATGCCAAAGGAGAGGAACCAAAGAGAGAAGAAAGGAAATGAGAATATAGTTTAGATATCCCAGTTCTGTAGCCATAAAACCCTGAATCACAGAAGAGCGATCTTCAGAGTGCCTACCACCATCCCTGTGCGGAGCAAGAAGCAATGGACTGTCTGGGTCACATCAGCGGCATGGATCTGGTTATGGTAAGGGTTCTTGTACTTCCCGTAGCCTGTCTCCAATGCATCCAGGAAACTCATCAAAAACACAGTGGGAATCTGCAGTAAAACGGAGGAAATCAAGATGCACGGAGGATCCATGGAAATGGCAGGCAGCCCAAGGCTGAGATAGACAATGCTATCTTTCTTTAAAAGGCAGTGTGGCATAGGGAGAGGGCACTCGCTCAGCAGTCAAGTGAACCTGGGCTCACATCCTGGCTCTACCACCTGCTGACTATGCAACCTTGGGCAAGTCACGTGCCTCCCTGTGCCCCAGACTCTTAATTGCAGGATGAAGATAACACCACCTACCTTGAATTTAATGAGATAAGTACAAGCCACTTAGTAAGTGCTCTCTAAAGAGTAGCTATAATTATTATTATTTCCCTGGAGATTTTTCAGAAAAAAAGAAAACTTCCCTCTTACCTTCCAACCACCTCACCCCATCCCCAATCCAATCTCAGACAGAGAGCTCAGAAGCAGGGGAAAGGATAAGATGACATAGAGAGGAGCCTTCCAGCCAGGTGTGGATTACCCCCTCCTGTGAGAAGCCTTCCCCCACCACACACACATGCACATGCACGCACGTGCACACACACACACACACACACACACACACTGTACACACTCATGCATTCCTCTCTCTCCAACTGTCTTACCTTCCCTTACGCCCCTCCAGTTTTGCACGTGAAGTTCATTCTTCCTGAAACAGTCTTTTGCTGTCTTTGGCCAAATCCCATGTTCCCTTCAGCATTTAACTTGCACAGAAGTCTGCCACCTTTATTCCTCCAGACTGGGTCAGGGAGCCTCCTGTCTGGTCCCTCTGAGACGAAGATGATTATGTAAATAGCACAGCATCGTGTAATAGCTTTCCTAACCGTCACTTTTTTTCCAGTATGATGGAACCATTTCTTGGGATCAGGAGCTCTGTTTGTGATGGTAAGGGGCAGTGCCTGGCGTAGAGTCAGTGCTTCCCAATAACACACATGCCCAGGTCCTGAGCTCTATACACACACACACACATACACACACACACACATCAGGAGTCAGGGCTCTGTCCAGCTATTTTCAATTCTGTCTTCGTCTTGCATATGCCCTTTGGGTTTGGTATGTCTTTCTCCTTCAAAGGTCAAGGCTCCCAGAGGACAAGGCTGGTGTCCGCACCTGTCCCTGAATCTCCTGAGGCTGGGAGGAGAGTAAGGGTCAGGACCTGAGGGAGCGTATGTAGAGACGAGCTACCAAGTGAGAGACACAGAAGATGCTCCACTCATCAGTCAGACTCTAACATCCCCACCCCCACCCCTGGAGGGCTGTGCCCCAAATTCAGGGAATTTTAAAGGACTGTTTCCATGACAACTGCCCTTGCTTTAGAGTTGCCATGGCGTCCCTGGAGGGAAGGGGAGGGGAGGGGCGGAGCAGGGGAGGGGCTGGGTGCCCAAGAAAGGAATGGAAAGCTTGAGAAGGGGAGCTTCAACTGGGAGCACTACCGTGAGTGAACACTAAAGCAATAAGCTCCCCTCTCTCTATGACTGCCTTGTAGTGAGGCAGACTGGGGCTGGGCCAAACCCAGCCTGATGCAATTACTCCTAGGGTCCCCTTAAAACCAGTCCTTCCAGATAAGGAAACAGAGTTTAAGAGAAGCTGGTGTCTGGAGTATATCTGCAAACCAGTTTGGAGAAACATGAGCTGGAAAACGAAGGCCCTGCTCTTCTCCGTCCTGGAGAGGGCAGGACTGAAGGGGAGGAAAATGAAACTACAGAAGGACAGGCCCCCAGGAAAGCAGTGAAGAAAATCCCAACGGAGCATCTCAGGAAAGTTCTGGAAACCCTCCTGGAAGTTGTTGTGAAAGGAGGAGTCAGGGTAAAGAAGAGGCTGACGTGCACCAATGGTCTGTTACAGTGACATGAAGGCAGAGGATAGAGGGATGAGCTTCCAAAGCCCTCTGGGAGGAGCCCCTCCAACTGGACTCCTTGATCCCCCCACATGCACCCCTCAGAACTCACTCCTCAGAACGCACACATTTTTCTCCTCTCTAACATCTACTGCCCACCCCCGCCTAGGTGCTGACCAAACACTCCCACTGCAACTCTTTAATCCCCCTCACACTTCTAAGTGTGGTTTTTCCATGTGGAAGGGGTTTTTTCCAGCCTCTATTCCCAAAAGATGCTCCCTCCTGACACAGAGTCTAGAGAGGACTTTAACCCCATATTCTTCCTGGCCAGCCAAACTGAAGAGCAAATGGAGTTCGCACACCCTCCTTCTCCTCATACAACCCCACCCCACCCTGCCAAAAGCTGATCCTCTCCATAAGATTCCTTGGACAGAGACTAGCACTGGGGAGGGGTGGGGGAGAGAAATGGCCAATTTTATCCCCTCCCCTGACCCCAGGAAACAAATGGAGAAACTCTAGTCCCAAAGAGCTGATAGCATCTGGACTCTAGGCCTCCAGTGTCCTCAGGCAGGAGGCAGGACAGCTGAAACGGGGGTGGGGGTGAACATCAAGCCAGCCTGGAGAGGTCAAGTTAGAGGGAAGAGCAAAGGCAAAGAGAGCAGAATTCTAGGCTAGATGGTTGCAGACCTAGAATCTTCCCCTAGGAAGCAATAAATGAAGTCAGAGGTCAGCACTATGGCAAGCGAAAGAAAGGCTAGACTGGGGTGAGCATGAGGAGACGTCCCTGATGGTGAGACCGAAAGAGGGAACCTGGGAATCTACTTGTTGAGAATCTTCTAGAACAGGAGTGATGGGAGTGGAGAATGATGCCCAGAGGCAGGGGTAGGATGCTGCCCAACCTTAAAACGGCTGATGAGGTTATGCCGAGTCAGCAACTCAAAAACGATGGTCCTCAGGGCATGGTCATCTGCTGCCCGGTTCAAGGAAAAGACGTCGAAGCACCAGAGGTCCAGGTTCTGTGAAGAAACAACAGACTAGGCAGGGAAACTCCCAGGGGAGCATCCAGCAGCAGCAAGGGTTGCAGTTAGACTTCAAGGAGGACTTCCCAATGATACAGAGTCTTAGGAAGCAGGTAAACAAAGGGGCAGTGGAGTGGGCCTCTCTTCCCGGATCTCTCTCAGTATGGGAGAGACAAGAAGGCTGGAGTTTGCCTCTGGAGTGGGCAAAATTTGTTTTGAAGAACATGAAAACAACAGTTAAACGGGAAGGCAAAAATCACCCCATAAACAGTCTGAAAGTCCCAATGGCTCTTTCCACCCCCCAACCTTCTCGTTCCCAAAAACCCAGGGATCACCTTGAGACACTTGAGGACGGCAGTGGAATGGGTAGGGCCCACAGAGGTGTATGTTCTCCGGAACATCCTAAGGGAGAATAATGAAAAGAAGCCCAAGTATGAAGGTCTAGGGAGTGGGATCTGATCAGGTGGACATGTGGGGCCACACTGCTGGTGGGGGCCTGGAAGACCAGGGTGGCCAGGAAAGAGGGACCTGGATAGAGGGCAGAGGAAGGCCGAGCGTGGGTGAGCCTTACCGTTCCACGAAGATCCCAGCCTGCACAGCGTGCACAATGCTGCGGAACTTGGGCTTCTCCTCTGCCCGCCGGCCTTTGGCCCGGGCCTGCTGGGTGAAGGTGGAGGCCAGCCAGTCCCGCACCTCGGAAGGCACAGCATCTGACCGAAGCTCCTGCAGCTCATCCTCCGTGTCCAAGATTTGCCTGAGGCCCCAGAAGGGGCATCACAGAGGAAAGACAGCAAGTGCTTCCACAACCTGCAAACCCTGAGCCCAGCCACACCCCACACCTCAGTTACTCTCAGGCTAGCTCTTTTTCTTCTTGGACACCCCCTTGCCTTTCTCTCACTGTTTTTATTTGTTTCTCTATCTGATGTCCCGAATAATGGAACAGGTCACTATGTGAGGTAGTGAGCACCCAACTCTGGAAATGTTCAAGCAAATATTAGAATACCACCTGTCAAGGATGCTATATAGACCAGCAGCACTGTCCAGAAATAAAATGCAAGCCACCTTTAAGGAGCTTCAAATGTTCTAGTAGTCACATTAGAAAGGTAAAAAGAAACAGGTGAAATTCATTTTAATGATAAATTTTCTTTAACCTAATGTACCCAAAATATTACCATTTCAACATGGAATCAGTAAAATACATATATATATTGATGAGATATATTATTCTTTTTTCTAAGCCTTAGACATCCAGCATGTATTTTACAAATATATACATGTCTTAATTCACACTTGCCACATTTCAAGCCCCAATAGGCACTCGTGGCCAGCAGTTTCCATACTGGGCAGCATAGGTCTGGAGGGATCTTACACTGGGAAGAAGGTTAGGACTAGATGAGCTTTAAGGTAACAGTCTTCTCTCTGCGTTTGTCTTGTCTCTGCAACTCCGCGTGTGTTCCTCTGCCTCTTTAATCTCTGCCAATATTCTTACCTCTTTCTATCTGCCCCTTCCACTCGTCCTTCCTGCTCTGGCCCTGTCACAGTCTCTGTCCCTAGTTTCCTGTCTGACTCCCAGTCTCTGGGTCACTGTGTCTGCATGGTGTCTTCTTCCTCTGTGGGTAGGTCCCTCCCCGAGGCCCAGCATCACCACTCTGACCACTCTCACCGAGTCTCATCTATATAGACGGCCTCCAGCAGGGAAGCTGTGTACTCCAAGTTTTTCTTCAGCTCCTCAATGTTGACCTCCCCATTCTCCAACTGCTTCACCATGTAGCGTAGCCTGGGGAGGAGGGCACAGACATCCTGTTTAAGCGCTGTTACCTTGTCATGAGGACAGGATACTTTCTCATAGAGTTCATTTTTCAGAAACAGCTTCAGTCTTCCCTAAATAATTAATCATTCTCACAGTAAGAATAATAGCAGCTAATGTTGTTCATGTCAGGCTACTGCCATTGCCTGTATTAAATTTATCTACTCCCTAAATTTAATCCCAGGATTTTCCCCATCCACCTCTGATTTCTTAACACAACCCCCGCCCCCCCCCCACCGCCATTTAGTCAGTGTTTCCTGAACACTCTTGTTTAGACTGCCCAGGGCCCAGCAGAATTAGACAGGTACAAGCTTTTGGGTGATGTTTTGGGGGTGGTCTGTTTCATAGTCGGAATAATCAAGAGCTAAAACTGCCATTTCCCCCATGAGAGAGGGCTCTGGGACCAACAGCAATCAAAAGAGTACCCAAGAGTCTTTCATTATCTCTCTCAGTCATGGTAGGGAAGGGGGTACATGTCCATAGCCCCTCTCTCCCTGGAAGGGATGGCAAAGACACAGAACAAAGAGCAATCTGAATACTTTCGCCTGGCCTCACTCCATCCAGGCAGAGCTAATGGATTATGAATCCAGAATCTAACAACCAGGGCAAAGCAGGATTAACCCCTACCTGTCCAGGTTCTTTCTGTCAAAGGGTGCCAGTATCCATTCCCTACCTCAGCCCTGAAACAGCTTCTCCCAGAGCCAAGGGTGGAGGTGGGGCCAGGGGTCTCACTGGATTCTTTGACTGAAGGGACAATCCCTCATAGTTTGTACTCATGAATTCTGGGGGTTGGTGATTAACTGGGAAACTTCTTAGAAGTCTGGCGAGTCCAGCCCAGGCAGTCACAAAGCAAACAAAGCTCTCTGACTTTAGATGGTGATTTTAAAGAAAGAAATGAAACATTCCCCTCTCATTCCTTCCCCCAGCCCTCCCCACCCCACCTAAAACTAAGATGGGAGTGAAAAGGTGGCCATCACAATTCCCCACTGAGAGGGGCTTCAGAAACCCAAGGTCAACCTCTGAGTCAGGGAGAAGAGAATGAGTCAGGGACCAAAAGCTGAAATTAGCATCAATTCCCAGGGATGCTGGAGGAGGGAGAACAA